TTGGTCACAAAAGACTTTGAGCTAACTTTTGACCGACTGGACCCATTTGTATGATTTTGACGTATGTTTGTATTTGGAGTATTTTGATTCTGAAAATGTAGGTTTTATGTGAATGTGATGCATACGTTTAAAGTTATGAATATTGTGTAAAACTGTGTATTTTCATGCCTGTGATAATTAAGTTAGACATTGTGTTCAGTAATTATATCACAGGCAGAGGGGAGGATTTTGTGTGGGAGTGTCTGAGTGTATTGTACGTGTTTATTGGTTTATTGAGTGTCGTCTCGTTCTTGGGGGGAATTGGATTGTATGCTGTTTCAGACCGATTGCTAGGAGTGTAAACTGTCTGTATGGTTTTTCGGCTGTTTACAGCATTCATATGTTTGAGAGCATTCCTATGCTTCTCCGGTTTGGTGGATTGGTGTCTACAGTAGCTGCCTGTATATAGAGAAGGGGAATATCTCCTAAACGGCTGTTAACCCCTTTAATGCCTGGGGGTGCCGTTACAAACATATATATATAGTTTGCCCCATTTTAAGAAATGTGTTGGGTTTACATATATACTTTGGAACATAATACAAATATCACAGTCTCCCTAGAACTCTCGCATATTTTCTTACTTAAAGGAACCCTATCTTGCTCCCAAGGTTTTCTAACCCTTATTGTAAAAAAATGTATTTCAAAGCGTGTAGTTAATTTATGCAATATTTAAGAAGGTGGATTTCCCATCTAGTGATTCAGTCTTTGGGTAACAATTCGGTATACTTATACAACGTTTTATTAAAAGTAATCTTAGCTTACTTAAGCATGGAACCAGTTTGCCAAAAAGTTTTTCTTAGTTATTAAAAGTTTGAATTTATTCAGCATTGGAAAGAAACAACTTCTTGATTTAATGAATAATGGAATAACTAGCAAAGTAAAAGGGAAAAAAATAAATATAATGGAGAAAGTAATTAGCTGAAATGGTTGTGTGAACAAGGAGCAGTAGGGGTGCAGAAAGGAACTCTAGGTGGTAACATCAGATTAAAATAATGAGCATAAGCAACTTTGCGGATGTGAAATGTGCTTCAAGAGCACACACACACTTAAATACTATCTCGGGTATTCGGTAAGCAAATACAGAAAATTCTTACAGATTAATAAACCAGGAAAATAAACAGGAAGAAGGATAAGGATATTGATCTAAGCTATGCATTTAGTGAATATGTTTACAGAAAAAAAACAAAAAAAAAACTGCAGCATGAAATCTTGGTTTTAGGAATTAGCTCTCTCTATGAGTTGTGTTTGTGAGCTGTGCTTAAACACAGCAAGCTGACAAAAATGGCTTCGCCTACAATGTCAATATCTCCCTATTGGCAGTATAACCGCTGGTGATGTTTGTAGTTAGAGCCAGTGCAAGGATTTTTGACACCCTAGGCAAAAATCTACTTTGTCGACAATTAAAGGGACACATCAATCACCATCATAATGAACTTATAGCGTTTGTATAGGTTAGGGTGAATGAGGTCCCATCTCGTCATGGTCTACCTAAGTGTCTTGCAATGCATATAAAACAAATTCTCACCTCCTTTGGTAGCCTTCATCAGAGATTTCAATTAGTGGAAACTGTGCAACTGCCAGGTTTGGCAAGATTAATTACAAAGAAAAAAAAATGACAAGAGTTCTGCAGCTTGTGCAGGGTGTTCTTAGATATGACCCCCAATGAAACAGTGCATAATTAAATACAGACATTTTCATTGGAGTTATATCTACTAAACAGTGATTTCTTTATATCTACTAAACAGTGATTAACAGCAGGTAAACAGTTAACATATTGTAGATATGAAGTAGTGCTGACTGGGGTCCCTCTCTTAGTGCCAGAGCTGAGCACTTACAGTTATGTGCACACAGGGAGAGGGTAAACATCTTCTGATCCTGCCAGGGCCGGACTGGGAAAAAATTCAGTCCAGGCATTTTTCACTCACAGCCACTGGCGTACATACCGCGGTCGCAGGGGGCGCAGTTGTCGCAGCTGCGACCGGGCCCAGCCCACCAGGGGGCCCAGCCGCCCTGCCACCGGGGTATGTATGCCAGTTTGCCAGCCTATTCTCCTGGGGTGCCCCTGAGCGCGCACCGCAGTGATGCCGGAGCCGGAGTATGACGTCACTCCGGCTCTGGCATCAGTAAGCGGCGCGCAAGGGAGCTGAACAGGAGGAGACCCCAGGGAAATCTGGAATCCCCTCAGCACTCCTAAAGGTAGGAAGGCTAGGGGATTAAATTTAAAAAAACGTGAGTGTGTATGTGTGTTAGTGTGTGTGTGTGTTAGTTTTTGTGTGTCAGTGAGTGTGTTACTGTGTGTGTGTCTGTTACTGAGTGTGTTAGTTGTGTGTTAGTTGTGTGTTATTGAGTGTGTGTCTGTTATTGAGTGTGTGTCTGCTAGTGAGTATCAGTGAGTGTTAGTTTGTGTGTGTGTTACTGTGTGTGTTAGTTTGTGTGTGTCTGTTATTGAGTGTGTGCTAGTTTGTGTGTGTGTTATTGAGTGTCTGCTAGTGAGTGTCAGTGTGTGTGTGTCAGTGAGTGTTACTGTGTGTGTCTGTTAGTGAGTCTGTTTGGTATCTGTTAGTGAGTGTGTGTTTGTCAGTGAGAGTGTATGTTTTGTAAGTGAGTGTGTGTGTGTATGTATGTCTGTCACTGAGTGTGTATCTGTCAGTAAGTGTCTGTTAGCTAGTGTATATACGTCTGTTCGTGAGTGTCAGTGTGTGTGTGTCAGTGAGTGTTACTGAGTGTGTCTGTTAGTGAGTCTGTTTGGTATCTGTTAGTGAGTGTGTGTTTGTCAGTGAGAGTGTATGTTTTGTAAGTGAGTGTGTGTGTGTGTGTATGTATGTCTGTCACTGAGTGTGTATCTGTCAGTAAGTGTCTGTTAGCTAGTGTATATACGTCTATTCGTGAGAGTGTGTGGTTAAAATCCCTTCAGCACTTACCTTTCTCCAGCGCCGGGCTCTCTTGGCCCCGGGGATCTCTCCGCCCGATCCGCCTCTCAGCTCCAAATGCACATGCGCGGCAAGAGGTGCGCGCATTCAAACCGCCCATAGGAAAGCATTACTCAATGCTTTCCTATGGACGTCCAGTGTCTTCTCACTGTGATTTTCACAGTGAGAATCGCGGAAACACCTCTAGCGGTGAGACAGCTACTAGAGGCTGGATTAACCCTCAGTGATACATAGTAGTGCTATGTTTTCAGCTGCAGGGTTAAGAGGGGCCTGGCCCCCAGACCACTTCATTGAGCTGAAGTAATCTGTGTGCCTATAGTGGTCCTTTAAGTGTATGTGTATCTGCATGCACTGGCATACATACCGCAGTCGCAAGGGTCACATCACCATGTGTTGCAGCCCGCGCAGAGCAAGCGCCGGGGGCATGGATCAATTTTCACACCAGGGCCCCATGGATCATGTGTACGCCACTGATCACAGCGGAGCCAGAGAGGGTGTGTTTTGTCATTACTAATGACAAGCAAGCCCCCTCTCAAAGTGAGCATGTTGGTTCAATGCACAGGGCCCTTCTGAAGAGCTCTAGCATGAGAAAAAGGCAATGTATTTGTTCTGCGCAGCGCAAGCACATTTAATAACATGCTTGCGCTCTTTGCTTTTAACATGTCTCTGGTGTCTCCATAAGTAGGATACCAGATGACAAAAGGGCCAGGAAAAAGTATTGTGCATGTGTTTGGAGCCTGCTTCTGGGATTGTGTGTGTGTAGAGTGAGCTGATTGTGGTGTGGTATTGTGTAAATAGGTTGATTTCATTCATGTTTATGGTGTAATATGTGTGGCTAGGGGCTGTAAAGAGTGTGTGTGTGTATAGGGGGCAAAGTGTGTATTGAAGCCCATGGAGCAACGAAGTAAGGGGAGTGGGCCTTGACAGAGCCAGGAGTGGGCAGGTGCAGTCAGTTAGGGGTTGGCTTAAGCTAATGGAGCTTGGGGGCGGGATTAAAGGGGGTTAAAATAACGGCCATCTTAGAGAGTGGCCATTTTAATCAGAACTTCACTTACCTGTTAGTTGTGTCAGGTCTGTGGGGTTTTTCTTTTTTCTTTTTCTGCAGGTCCATGGCGTCCCTGGATGAGATCCTGGCCGGAGTGAGAGCAGCAGTGAAGGACTGAGGGCTGGCCTGGCTGCATGAGCAACTGGGGGCTGCAGTTCCCCCTCCAGCACCAGCGGAGCGCAGGACGGCGCGAAGAGCACGGCCGCCCCAGCGCTTGAGTCCGGGCATGGCGCCCGCTCCACGGCGGCGGAGGAGCCCGTCGGCACCCAGCCAGGAGGCAAGAGGGTCGGACAGCACTGGGAAGCGGCCGGCGCCGCCTGGATGGGTAGGGGCCCAGCAGTACAGACTACCCAGGTTGTCTTCTCCTTACAGGTCGCGGAGCGCTACCCCTACGGTCCTGAGGAGGGATCAGGCGGATGGGAGTCGGCGTCAACCGGATGCTCCGGAGCCTGAACGGGTGGACGGAAGGTCGGCAACCCCGGGGCCTGGCACGGCCGGGGGCTCCAACGGTGAGTCCATATCTGCACAACACTCCGGACAGTTATTGGGCTATTTAAAAACATTATTGGAGGCATGGTCAGGGAAGGGGGAATCACCATTGCAGTTCGGAAAGGTATGGTCCCCTGACACGGCGGTTAAGGCACTAGGGGCGGTGGGCCAACCGGCGAGCGGTGGCGAGACAAGCGAAGCGGTAGTGGCGTCCGGTGCGGCGGATGGGGGGGCTGAGTCGGCAGTCGGTTGTGGCGACATTTCGGACGCGGCACGTCAAAACGTACACGTATCCTTTGCGGGCCCCCTAGGTTGTCACCTGAAATTAGAGGTCAAAGAAAAGATTTGGAAAGGGGAGTTCATGGAAATTTTTCCTTGCTCCCTTTGGAGGAATTCCTAGACTTGAAGGAGGAAGATAAGAAGGACGCCAAGAAGGAGGAAGAGGAAAAAAGGCGGAGGTATCGCAAGATACCGAAGACTTTTGGGAATTGGCTGAGGGCATTCTGCATACTGGCTAGTGTGATAGGGGAAAAAAGGCCGGGGAGCTGTTCGCAACTGTTCTGCTACTTGGATGGGATAGGCGATGCGTATCGGACGTATGGGGGCCTAACATGGTGGAAATATGATGAGCAGTTTCGGCAACGCTTGGCGGCCAACCCTACCATGCGGTGGGACCAAATGGACCTGCCGCTATGGATGAGGATTATGATGGCACAGAAGGCTGCGCCCTTTCTCGGGGCAGCTGGGACAGCCTCAGGCGTGGCCGTGCCAGCGGGACAAAAGAAGGGCCTGTGCTGGACGTACAACGAGGGTCAATGCAAGTGGGGTACTTCATGCCGATTTAGGCACGAGTGTTCGGGCTGCGGAGGGAATCCCGGCGCCAGCAGATGCTTCAAGAAAGGTAAGCTTAATGCAGTGGGTGGAACCGCAGGGGTGGCGGCCACCTCGGCTGCAACTGGGGGCGTCCCCAGTGAGGTTAGGCGCGATGTTGCCTTGGCTAAGGCAATACGCTAACCAGGAGGATGCAGCGTTCCTGTGGCGGGGTTTTAGGGAGGGCTTCGTGATCCCCTTCACGGTTAAGGAACCAGGGGCGGTTTGTGCCAATCTTAAATCGGTGCGGGAACGCCCGGAGGTAGTGCGGGAAAAGCTGGCCAAAGAGGTCCTTTTGGGGAGGATGGCGGGGCCGTTCCCGTACCCGCCTCTAGCAGAGTTGCGGATATCCCCACTTGGAGTGGTCCCCAAAAAAGAGGCTGGCAAATTCAGGTTGATTCATCACTTATCGTATCCTAAAGGGTCATCGGTGAATGATGACATCGACGCAGCACTCTGTTCAGTATCTTACACATCATTCGACAGGGCAGTCGAGTTGGTACGGAGAGCTGGGCGGGGAGCGCTGATGGCGAAGGTGGACGTGGAGGCAGCGTTTCGGCTGCTTCCCATACACCCGTCATGTCATCACCTCTTGGGGTGTTGTTTTGAAGGGGGCTTCTTTGTGGATCTGTGCTTGCCGATGGGTTGTTCCATCTCGTGCGCCTATTTCGAGAAGTTTAGCACTTTTCTGGAATGGGTAGTGCGACGGGAATCGGCCGGGGGCACGGTTGTGCACTACCTGGACGACTTCTTATGTGTCGGCCCTCGAGGCTCAGACCGGTGCAAGCAGATACTACGGGTGTTCCAATGGGTAGCGCAGACGATGGGGGTTCCTTTGGCGGAGGACAAGACCGTGGGACCCGCCACGTGTCTCAGTTTTCTGGGTTTGGAGATCGATTCGGAGATCGGGGAATGTAGATTACCACAGGACAAGTTGCACAAACTGAAAGATTTGGTTCACACAATCGGGAGAGCACGGAAGGTGACGCTGAGGGGCTTACAGTCTCTGGTAGGGAGCCTGAACTTTGCGTGCAGGGTCATACCCATGGGGAGGGTTTTCTGTAGACGGTTGGCGCGGGCGACGAGCGGGATACGGATGCCGTCACACTATGTCAGGGTTTCCGCGGACATGAAGGCGGACTTAGAGGTGTGGGATCGTTTTTTGAGGGACTTCAATGGCAAGGCCTTTTTTCGGGAGCAAGTGGTGTCTTCGGAAGCAGTGGGGCTGTTTACGGACGCTTCGGGCAGCGTGGGGTTCGGGGCTTACTTTTCGGGGCAGTGGTGTGCCGAGGCATGGCCCGAGGCATGGAAGGCGAGCCCATTGATCAAGAATCTGGCATTTCTGGAACTCTTCCCTGTGGTGGTTGCGGTAGCGTTGTGGGGAGCTGAATTAGCAAACAAGCGAGTCGTGTTTTATTCGGACAATATGGCCGTGGTGCAGGCAATCAATAGTTTGTCGGCATCTTCGCTTCCGGTCTTATGCCTACTGCGGCATTTGGTGCTCCTCTGCATGTCTTCCAATTTAGTATTCAGGGCTAGGCACATTCCGGGATTCTCAAATGTGGTGGCTGATGCGCTTTCTCGTTTTCAGTGGGATCGTTTTCGGGAAGCGGCTCCAGAGGCACGGGAATACGGGCAGGCCTGCCCAGACGAGATGTGGCGACTCGGGACATCGTGCTTGGGGAATACATAAAGAAATCATTGGCACCGAGCACGTGGTCATCTTATGCTAAGGTTTGGAAGGAATGGGAGGAAACTGTTGAGGAGGTAGGTGGGGACCTTTCGGAGGGCCATAGGCTGGATGTCTTCCTATGGTTGTTGTGCCGGTTGTTTGCAAAGGGGGCTTCGCCGGCCATGGTGGACAGGCATATGTCCGCCTTGGCTTTCTGGTTTAAATTCCAAGGGTGGGAAGATTTGACAAAGCATTTCTTGGTTCGGCAAGCGGTTCGGGGTTTTCGGAGGGGAAAGGCGTCGACGGACGTTAGGAGACCGGTGTCTTTTGCGGTTTTACAAGGTTTGGTGGGAACGTTGCCGGAGTTATGTTCCTCGCCATTTGAGGTGGTCCTTTTTTCTGGTGCGTTTGTCTGGGCGTTTTTCGGGGCGTTTCGGATCGGGGAGCTGGTTAGCACCAACAAAGCGGGAGTTGGTGGCTTGCAGCGCAGTGATGTGGAAGTTAAGAGTGATCGCGTGCAGATTAGGTTGGGCCGATCGAAAACTGATGTTTTCGGCAAAGGCTGCTCCGTGGTGCTGTTCGAATTGCCGGGGTCAGGGTTGTGCCCGGTGGCCTGCGGATCAGGGTACCTGGGGATCCGTCCTAACGTTAGCGGTTGTTTTTTCCTGCACGCTGACGGCACGGCGCTGTCACAGTTTCAATTCATTAGGATTTTTCGTTTGGGCTTAGTGAAGCTGGGCCTGCAGCCCATGCAATTTGGGTCGCATTCGTTCCGTATCGGTGCGGCTACGGAGGCGGCACGCTTGGGTTTGGGTGACGAGCGGATCAAGAGGATTGGAAGGTGGGAATCCGTGCGGTTTCGCTCGTATGTGAGGCCTGACGGGATGGTGGAGCTTTGAGGGGATAAATGGCCGGGACTGGGGGACACTGGCACTGCGGTGTAATTAATTTTGTCTCTTTTCAGGTTGGAATGTTTGGTTGCTGGGACACTCGTTCGTATATTGGGCACAGAAGAGGGCCGCAGTTCGGAGACAAGGAACACAACTGGGCTTTCCTCTGGAACGGGCGGTCTTATCCTGGTTTGGTTTTTGAGGTTTTAGTTGGCAGAGCTTGAGTAATGTTTTATTTCAAAAGGTGGCAAGGGGTCCGGTTCCGGATGTGGTAGTGGTGCACGGTGGGGGGAATGACTTAGGGCTGATTCCACAACGGGAACTGTTGCGGCGAATGAAGAGGGACATGGATCGGCTACGGGAGCTGGTCCCTGACGTGGTGGTGGTGTGGTCCGAGATGGTGCCTCGTTTTACATGGCGGCACGCCAGGGACCCTGCTGCAGTGGCACGATGCAGGGGGAAGATTAATAGAGCTATGGAAGTATTTGTTAATCGGATGGGAGGAGTAGTGGTGAGGCATCGGGAACTGGAGGGCATGTTGCCAGGTTATTTTAGGAGGGATGGAGTACACCTGTCAGAGGTGGGGTGTGACTTGCTGAACTTGGGGTTCCAGGAGGGCATAGCACGAGCCCTGTTTCAGTGTGGTGGGGGTCGCACATGGTCTTAAGGGGTCAAGACAAGTGCTGTGGCGGAACAGGGCGTGGTTAAGTTGGAAGTTATCAGGGAATTGGAACTGTACAGGCCAGGGCCTAGGCTGAAGTAGGCCAGACGGTGTCATGGTTGGTAGGTTCTAGCTCTTCGGTGGCGACGAACCTGGGGGTGTAGGGGTGTCTGGGTACACCCCTACAGTTATCATTATGATATGGGGCCTCGTTGGTAGGCCGGATGTTTAAAAGTTTATTGGTAATTGATGTTAATTATTGTTCATGTGGTAGGGTCATTGTCAGGGGATTGTGCGGGGGGATAATAAATAATGTCATTTATGACAATGACCCTAAATATGTTAATTTATTCATATTAATAAAGCTGTGGACGTTATACTCCAACAGTATTAAATGTGTCCGTGTATTATTAAAGTTAAAGTTTATAGCACATGCCGAATAACGACAGTGCAAATGTCAAGGAGATTGTGTGTGTGTGTGTGTGTGTAGAGGAGTCAGAGTGTATATAGAGATCTAGTGTGTGTATGTGTGTGCAGAGTAGATGATCCAGAGTTGGGTAAGGGATCTAGCATGTATCTGGAGCATAATGTGTTTAGTTTTCTTTGTCTGTTAACTCACTGAGGGTGATTTTATATAAGATGTGTTAAGTCTTGGTGCAGAAAGGAGGGTTTGGGGTTTTTAGAGCACTGGGCCGACTTTGCAATTGGGTACAACCTTTATAGTGGTGATGGATTGCACCTAAACGGGAGAGGGTCTGCAGTGCTGGGGGATAGGATGGCTAGAAGGTTGGAGGAGATTTTAAACTAGTAGTAGGGGGGAGGGTCATAGCAATCTACAAAATGGAGATAGGACAGAAAGGAGATGGGCTTTAGCACAGTATAAGGGGGGTGGAAACGGGGGGAGGGGCAAGCTCAGAACAGAGAAGCTGTGTAATGTTGAAAATTCACAAAATATACAAGTGACGCATAATATTAAATGTATGCTTACTAATGCAAGGAGCCTAAATAACAAAATGGGGGAACTAGAGGCATTAGCATACACTAAACAATATGATATAATAGGCATAACTGAAACATGGTGGGATGAGACACATGACTGGGCAGCTAACTTAAATGGGTACATGTTATTTAGGAAGGATAGGAAAAACAAGAAGGGTGGTGGGGTATGTTTGTATGTCAAACATGATTTAAAGCCAAATGTTAAGCAAATGGAATGCGAGGAGGATAATGTGGAAGCTTTATGGGTAAATATCTGCTTGGGGGAAAAGAAGGGAAACCAACTATTGGTTGGGATATGTTATAAACCACCTAATGTTAATATTGGCGAGGAACAACAGCTGTTTGAGCAAATTGAGAAAGCTGCAAATCTGGGTAACACTTTAATTATTGGAGATTTTAATTACCCGGATATAAATTGGGACAGAGGGACTAGTGCCTCAGCAAAGGGAATTAGGTTTTTAAACTTGTTAAATGACACCTTCATGTCACAACTTGTACAAGCACCAACTAGAATGGATGCTTGTCTGGACCTGGTTTTAACAAACAACGTTGATCTTTTGACCAACATTCAAGTAGGTGAGCACTTGGGAAATAGTGATCACAATATAGTGTCCTTTGAAATAAACTCAAAAAAAAACAAAAGCACATGGGGAATACTAAAACATATAATTTTAAAAAGGCCAATTTCAATAAGTTAAAGGAAGCTTTACAATATATTGACTGGCATAAACTCTTTAGTGAAAAGAACACTGAGGATAAATGGATCATCTTCCAACAAATATTACAAAGGTACATTTCTCAGTATGTACCGTTGGGAAATAAATATAAAAGAAACAAATTAAAACCAATGTGGCTTAGTAGAGAAGTAAAACAAGAGATTACAACTAAGAGAAGGGCATTTGAAGCATTTAAAATCGGACAAATCAGATGCATCTTATAAAAGATATAAGGATGCAAATAATGCGTGCAAAAAGGCAATTAGACTTGCTAAACTTCAAAATGAAATAATGATAGCTGAAGAGAGCAAAACCAACCCCAAAGCATTTTTTAAGTACATAAATTCTAAAAAAAAACAAAATGAAAGTGTAGGTACACTAAAAACTGAAACGGGGGTGTTAATTAATGAAGACCAGGAAAAGGCAGGAGTTTTAAATAACTATTTCTCCTCTGTATATATTAAGGAAGAACCCATGGTAATAGATGTGCAAATGATTGCTACTAAAAACTTGCAGAATAATTGTAATTGGTTAACTCAAGACAAGGTGCTGCGGCAACTAAAGAAAGTTAATATAAACAAAGCTCCAGGGCCTGACGGTATCCATCCACGTGTACTTAAGGAACTAAGTGCAGAAATAAGTGAACCTCTGTTTTTGATCTTTCAAGATTCTTTTCTTTCAGGAAGTGTTCCGGAGGATTGGAGGAAGGCAGATGTGGTTCCTTTATTTAAAAAGGGTTCAAAATCCTTGCCTGGAAATTATAGACCTGTGAGCTTTCAAATATTTGAAAGGTTATTAAGGGATATTATTCAAGAATTCCTTGAGAAGAACATGGTTATCAGCAAAAATCAGCATGGTTTTATGAAGCACAGGTCATGTCAAACTAACTTGATTGCGTTCTACGAAGAAGTAAGTAGAAGTATAGATCAGGGTGTTGCCATGGAAGTGATCTATTTGGATTTTGCCAAGGCATTTGATACAGTTCCACACAATAGATTAGTGTTCAAACTCAAGGAAATCGGTCTAGATGAAAATGCTTGTTCTTGGGTAGAACATTGGCTTAAAAACAGAGTACAAAGAGTTGTCATTAATGGTAAATTTTCAAGCTGGACAGAGGTGGCAAGTGGTGTCCCTCAGGGGTCTGTTCTGGGACCCCTTCTATTTAACATGTTTATAAATGATCTTGAAGACCGCATTGAAAGTCATGTTTCAGTGTTTGCAAATGACACCAAACTTTGTAAAACAATACAATGTGAGCAAGATATTACTTTGCTGCAGAGGGATTTAGATAGACTGGGGGACTGGGCACTCAAATGGCAGATGAAATTTAATGTTGAAAAATGCAAAGTTATGCACTTCGGCGTAAAGAATACACAAGCAACGTATACCCTTAATGGAAGCGAATTAGGGATAACAACACATGAAAAGGACTTGGGAATTGTTATAGACAACAAACTATGCAACAATGTGCAATGTCAATCAGCAGTGGCCAAGGCCAGTAAGGTATTGTCATGCATGAAAAAGGGCATTCATTCTCGGGACAAGAATATAATTTTGCCTCTTTATAAATCACTGGTAAGACCCCATATTGAATATGCTGTGCAATTTTGGGCACCTGTTCTAAAGAAGGATATTATGGCACTAGAAAAAGTGCAGAGGCGGGCTACAAAATTAATAAAAGGAATGGAACATATCGGCTATGAAGAAAGGTTAACAAATTTAAACCTATTTAGTTTAGAAAAACGTCGCCTGAGAGGGGATATGATAACATTATACAAATATATTCGGGGCCAATACAAACCATTGTGTGGAAATCTATTCACAAACCGGACTTTACATAGGACACGAGGCCATGCGTTTAGACTGGAAGAAAGAAGATTTCGTCTTAGGCAAAGGAAAGGTTTTTTTACTGTAAGAACAATCAAGATGTGGAATTCTCTGCCTGAAGAAGTGGTTTTATCAGAGTCCATACAGATGTTCAAACAGCTACTAGATGCATACTTGCAAAAACAGAATATTCAAGGATATAATCTTTCAATGTAGGGTAATAACTGCTTGATCCAAGGATAAATCTGACTGCCATTCTGGGGTCAAGAAGGAATTTTTTTCCTAGCTTGTTGCAAAATTGTGCTTCAAACTGTGTTTTTTTGCCTTCTTTTGGATCAACAGCAAAAAACAAATGTGAGGTAGGCTGAACTTGATGGACGCAAGTCTCTTTTCAGCTATGTAACTATGTGGGCAAACACGAAATACAGCTGCTGGAATGATTAGAAAAGCTCCCGCTAAATAGACACTGATTATATAAGCATGATACTTCAACCTGATAGGACCGTTTTAACCATTATGAAAATCTGAAATAACTTAGGTTTACCTATGTAGTTATTTCAATTCACATTTGTGTGGTTGTTGTCATGACTGATTTTGGCCTGTAGATGGTAGTTTGAGGGAAAGTTTGTGAAGTAGTTTGTCCGAGTATGCCCCTGTTCAGTAGTTATAGCTGTTCCCTTGAGCTTGTGATTCCCCCATGTGTCTTATGGTTGAAATGACCCGTTTGTGCATAGAGGTTTGTGCCTGTTTGTAGTTTAGACCATATAAGTGCATTCGTGTGGTTCTCGTTCGTATAATTTAAGCTTTTGTGTGAGCTGTCCATTCGTGTGAGTTAGCCTTTTATTTGAGTTTAGCCATACGTGCGTGAGCCATTCGTGTGTTTTAGCCATTTCGTGTGGTTTAGTTGTTTCGTGTGATTAGCTGTTTCGTAAGGTTTTAGCCGTTTCGTGAGGTCTTAGTCGTTTCGTGAGGTTTTAGCCGTTAGTATGGTTTGGTCGTTCGTATAGTTTGGTCGTATGAGTGAATTAGTCGTTCTTGTGAGTTTAGCCGTTCATGTAAGTATAGCTGTTCGTATGGTTTGGTCGTTTGTCTGGTTTGGTCGTGTGTGTGAATTAGTGGGTCTTATAAGTTTAGCCGTTCGTGTAAGCATAGCTGTTCGAATGAGTTGGTTCGTTCATGCGGTTCGTGTGTTTGTAGCGTTTGTTATAAAGTTTTTTACTCACTGTTTCCGGGTGCTCATCACTTGATCCGGAAGTGCGGCAGATGTACCGGGAACGTAGCGGTAAAGGTCTCCGAGCGGCTGCGGACCAGTGGAGGCGTTTAAGTGGGTCGAGGACCGGCTGTAAGCCTGGTAAGTGTCCTAGTTTGCCCGAGGGTAGTAGACCATGAGGGAGACTGCCTTTAGGAAACCGGAAGTGACCAATCGACATCGGCCTGGTATGGAGGTAAGTTTGTGTTTATGTAGGCCGGATCACCCACTTCCACAACTCCAGGCTCCACCATAGGATTGAGCAAAACTTTACTTTGCTCTCCTTTAATCTCTTTTATTACCGTTTTATCCTTATAGAGAGCACAATTTTTTCTTTTCATATTTTGTCTGTTGGTCTATTCTTACTGCTGAAATACGAAGTATTGAAAGAAAACACTTCAAGCAACTGGAAACTGCTGCTCACCACTGACAGGCCTGAGGATATCTCCCAACACAGGACCAGGACCTGAACCAGCATATCCATAGATGGGAATCATACCGTCCAATGAAATATATCTGGAGCTGATTTTAAGCTCCAGAATATTGTAAGTGTATTTCTTTGAAAAGAAAACAGATTTAAAACAGATGCTGCACTAGATTTAACTATTTTGTCTTTTTTGTCGTTTCATATTATCTCATATCAAATTGGAATTGAGGACATTATAAAAGACGTTGCTTCCCGACATCCCGCTTTTTACACATCAGATTATTATATATTATAATTATTAATATTATTATTTGCCTTGGCAGTGTTTGTGTAGGTGGATAACAAATCAGTACTTACTGTAATTTTTTTTGGATAAGCTTTTCAAGTGATTTCAAAAGTTTAATAAAAAACATAATATTTTTTTTAAGTTTATCCAAAAATATTAAATCAAAACCCATGTTAAATCGAGTGCCAATGTAAATTCAATGTATTGCAACATCGTCCTAAAACATTTTATATGCACCATCACAGTTTGAAGCCTATGTAAATTTTTTATTGTAATTATTCATATAATTAAAAAATAACAAAGATTATGCTGATTATCTGTTTTGACATGATTAACATTAACCTTGCATTTATCTCAGCAATGATAAGGCCAATATAATGTAGCATACCTTTAACTCCGGTGTCCAAAGAAACAGGATGCTGTTGGGTAATGGGGGTGGACCAATGATGCAATTGTGGGGCGGACCGACTCAGAAAGGGGGCATTTCCACCTAAGTTACTACCAAGTCAGCATGGCGTGAATTCACGTCGCCTTGACTGCCAATCATTTAAGCCATCTGTTTCAGTGCTGCCTGTAGGGTCCTAGTGCTCTGAACATGGAGCAGGTTACTCTAATTATGCTCTCAGAACGATGGGACAGGACCCAAAATCGAGGCTGTCCTGACAAAATTGAGACAATTGGGAAGCATGATGTATAGATTAGTTTTATTATGTCACAGGTTTGGTGTCTTAATTCTGTTAATAGAGTCGGTGTTGTATTGTGCTTATATTTCAACAAAGATGGGAACACTGCAAAGTGGAATAATGCATTTTATTAAAAAATAATCCTTGTGGCGGACCACCTGTTACCCCGACTGGGTACCTCCGCCAAAAATGCTTCCTAGCTATCACCGGGACACCATCAGCACTTCAGCCCCGCAGCTTGGCCGAGGTCTCGCCGTTGCTTCCCTCCCGGGACCAGGATCCTGGGTCCAGCTTCCAGTGATCATAGCTTTTCCCTACAAACCCACACAGAACGCAAGTTCCATAAGGAACTGACATACAAAACTTTATTTTTCTTGGGACTAGCCCCTTTGATTACTACATCAACATATTTATAAAGGGATGGGACAGACTATAATTAACATAAAACCTGCATGCAGAAATAGCAATATGCAAATCTACCTGAATAGGCAAATGAACCAGCCTTGCTATGCAGGCAGTGCATATTGCTGTTGCCACCAACAGAGGGCACTACATAGGCTTTGTAGCTAAATCCACCTAGTTGGTAGCAATCCTTGGCAGTACAGGAGAGCAGGCAAAACATTTAACAGTATACACACACATACACATTATAAACAATTACATTACACATACCCTGCATCTATAATGGGTATAGGGTGACTAAAACATGAGAAAAGACCAACAACATACATAAATAGTCTGTCTGAATGTCCAGGTGATGGTGACTACTGTCACAATCCTCAATTAACAAATTGATTTATCTACTTAACCTGCGATCGTGAAGCATGGATTGCAAGCTTTAGCTAAAAAAACTTCAAGCTGCAATAATTCAACTCTTAATAATTAACAAAATATAAACATGAAAATCTATATTTTTTGTCTTAATGATGTGTAGATTTTGAGTGTTGGTGGGCTGTTAACATGGGGATAGAGAAACCCAGTTATCCAGTTTGTAATAGATGCCACACATGTTCTAGGTAAGGGCACTTGTGACACCCTAAACATTGCAACTTGCTCCACTACAGTGGTGTTTGGAGTGTTTATTTAAATTATATATGTTGCATTTGGAAAACAGAAAGAGCAGCAAGTTAGAGAAGATTTTTTCGAAGGAATAGAGACTAGAGGAGGGTCTAATGGAGCACAGAAGTTTTGAAGGTAAGCGTCAAGGATGTTAGTATGAGCAGTGGTCTTTTGCAGCATTTAGGGGCCTGGGTGGGATCTAATTATTTGAGTTCTGGTAGTTATTGGCAGCAGGGGCGGACTGACCGGTCGGGCACTTCGGACACGGTCCGAGGGCCCGGCCGGGAGGGGGGCCCGCCGCCAGGGCCGCCTTCAGGGGGCCCAGCGGCAGGGCTGGATTGTGGGCGGCATTTGGGGACTGCAGGTGCCACCGGGTGGCCGGTCCGGTGGCACACTGTGAGGGGGGCGGCCACGTTTGATGCTGGAGCCGCCGGACCGGGTAGCAGCCTCGCCGGTCCGGCGGCATTCCTCTGACTAACACTGAAGAAGGAGGAGGAGGAGCATGTGTCTATCATGCTCCCTGCGGTTCCCACAATTCCCAGCACAGGATGTAGGAACCGCAAAGGAGCATGACATAGAGACATGCTCCTCCTCCTTCTTCTTCTTCAGCGTTAGTAGGAGGAATGCCGCCGGACCGGCGAGGCTGCCACC